AAGCCTAGAAGAAGAAGAAGATCTTGAGTTCAAATTTGTAATCCCTCTCTTCTCTCTCTAGAAACTCACTCTTTTCTCTTGAGTGTTGTAGATCCCTAACTAATACTTTGTAATTACTTGCTTAGAAAGAATGATTTTGTATGGGTCTGCATCAATTTGAGTATTAGAGGTGTTTCATGGTGATTGTGCTTAGTTGTGCTTTCCAAATCTTGTGTGCTTGCCTAACCTAGATTAGAGGAAAACCACACCTTTTTAGGTAGGCTTGACAAGCTTGGTTTTCCTGGACACTTTGTGCCTACTATCTAGGTTAGAGATGAGCATCTCCCTTTACTCAAGTTTGCATCTAGGTTGGTCGTGATTAAGCCGCTCAAACTCCGGTTTGAGGGAGAGACCTAGGAAACCCCTAGAGACTGAGTGAGAGGATCGATTTCGTGACAAATCGATCTCTATTGAATCCATCCTGTGAGAAATGGATCACTAGTTGCTCCTCCTAGCGGTTCCCTAGTCGTGGTGAGTGGATCGATTCCGTGACAAATCGGTCGCTAGTGAATTGATTCCGTGACAAATCGATCACTAGTTACTAACTCTCGTGGTTCACAACCACCTACACCACACGAATCCATTCAATCCAACGAGTCATGGTAGCTAGTTAGGGGGAAGCAACTCATGGGTAAAGCTCCCTTAGTTAGAATTTTCCTTTATTTACTTTTCTTTGCTTGTTTAGTTTGTAGTTCCGTTAGTTCTAAACCCAAAAGTTGCTTGCTAGATAACAACCTAAGCGATTGAAGTAGGGGTACATAGATCGACCCGGGTTGATAATTAAAACTTACTTGCCCTATGTTGCACCCCTCTAGAGTTTAAAAACTTGGGCTCTAGAGGGGATTTCTAGTGTGGTGTTTTGTGTGAGTCGGTGTTGGATGATAGCTCGGGTGGCAGCTTTGCAGGTGAGGGGATGAGCGGCAGCAGCAGATGAATAAGAAGGAAGAAGACACACGATGCAAAACAAAGGGTATGACTTTTTTGTGTGTCCATGAAGTAGATAAGTCCATGTTTAATAACAATAATAAAGTAGATAAGGGCAATGCAGTATTTTCAAACTTGCCATTAAAAATTAAAAATCTTATTGAACAATACCTAGCCCATTAGGGGTGAAAAACAGGAAACACGACCTATACATGTCCCTTTTTTTTTAGGGTTACGGGTACCGAAATACACATTTTTTTTAACAGGATGGGATTTGGGATCAATGATTTCTACAATGAGTACCCATAGGTTACAAGTTAATACATGTTTGGGTAATACAGGTACCCATAATACCCGTTGACAAAAATGATATAACCGAGCCCCAATCACCCAACCTGAGTAAACAGGGCCTCCCTTTTGCACCCCACAAAAATAAAATGGTCTATCCTTCAAATAGAAAAAAGAAACCACAAAAGCTATAAATCAACACACTTTATACAGGCGAAGCTTTTGGGAAATGAGCTCTGCATACTCCAAGAAGTCACTTTCGGATATGGGGATGAAATTATCAATGTTCTTTTCATTGGTGTTGGACTTTGAACCAAACAATTCCCTAGTGTTTCTATAATCAGCTTCTTCCACTAGCCTAAAAGAAAGGAACAATCCTTGTTGAGACTGCAGCTTAAAAGATCATTAACAAAATGTAGCATTGACCAGTAGATATGTAATGATCTCTTAAAATCATAACAGGAGACAACACATTCACCGACAGTTCGTTGGCGAACATTTTAATTGGACGGGTATGTACGGGTAGTTTGGGTACCCATTATCCGTCCCGTATGGGTAACAGGTACCCGTTAATCCTGATGGGTTTGGAACATGGGATGGACTTTGCTCTCCAAATGGGATTGGGTACCCGTTTCAAACAGGGGTATCCCATCCCATCCTATTGGCCACTCCTATGGCCCATAACCGAACAAGTGGGTTGGTTTAAATCCTATGTTTTAATCATATGGATTTTAAATGAGGAAGTTGAGCTAAATCCCTCATTCATACAATTCCTGAAATTGGTGGCAATAAGGAGGTTCATTTGGATTGGCCTGATTAGTCATGTGTGGAGAGCTCGCTAATTTTAATTTGCTCTAGGCTCTGTAGTGGTTGTGAAGTGTTGGCTTGATTTTTTGGTCGGTTTTGTCCTGCTAACTTACCCAACAAGGGTGTTGCTAGTGGCTGCTTCGACAAATTCTTTTTATTTTACAAAAGATAATTGTATATTGATTAGAAAAATAGGTAGTTTAGTTACATCCTGGAATTTAGCTAGGTTCGAAAATCAAAGAAACGACTCATAGTCGGGTACAATGAAAGGGGTACCCTATGGCTACGCCGACCTACAAATTGCACACTAAGCCCACTGTGAATCGCGAAACACTGGATGACCACTTCAAGAATGGGCCCCATTAGATTATCCCGGGTATCAGCCCGATTGATCTTCTCAATTTGAAAGCCCAAACGAACATCTCACTACTTTGGTGATTATATGATTCTTGACCCTTTCTGGCTTCTCTGTCAATTTGTTCACAATAAGAGCATCATATTCATTTATGGTTTCTCCAAAGTTGTCCGTAAAGTTAGGCTTATTTAGTGATAGGAAGTTTGTGGGTGTGTTGGTATTCTGAGATGAGATTGTTAATGGAACTCATAATAATCATGTTTCCATATGAGGATGCATGAAACTTATCTTTATGTAGTAGGATTTTTATCCTGCCTGTGTTTGTACATCTATCTCTTCTTTTATGAATTAGTTCTTTATATCCCACTTATCTAATATGCTTTGTTTATTGCATAATGACATTTCCCCAGAAATCCCTGCTGAAATTTCATTAAACGGAAATCAAGCCAAGACCCCCTGAAGCACTCAGGCAAGTAAGCTGCTAACATGATTTTGTTTTCCTGCAAACTATAGTCTGCAATTTTGTTGTTTTGATGTTATAGGAATCATGAGATTGCTTGATTTGGAGGAATAGGCATGTAGAAGCATGACATTTTTCAGTTTGATTCCATATTGGCTTTAGAGTCAAACTCTATTTGCAAGAAGGTTAAGGTGAAGCTTATTTTTCAATTTGCAGCGTAGTGGTCTGCGTTTCTTTGGGTAATGGTTGATGCATCATTCCAAACAAATTAGAGAAACAAACACCCAATTCCTCCACAAATCCAGCAAGTTCTGAACATGAGACTGAAATTACAGGTTAAACTTACTCAATTTAACTTCTTGAATCCTCAAGCTGAATGGTTAGTGTGGAGCATGACCCAATTGGGTAAGTGATGAATATATCACTATTCATATAACAGGAGAGTGTAGCAAGTTAATTTCATCATTTCATTTTATCTTATTTCTCTATTATGATTGCATCAATTGAGTGAGACAGGAAGTCAACTCCACACAAGTGCATCTCCGGTCTTTGAGCAAACCAACAAGACTAAGCCAACTCCTGAGGTTCTTCGAGGGACAACCTTTACAGGACAGAAAAGGAAACAAGGAACTGTGACCCCAAGGAAGTGAAGTAGTATTGCTACAAGCTTTGTGCAGTGAAGGGCCACATTGTGAAGCTTATATGTTTTTTGTTTTCCAGACTGGGATGTATGTGAATGGTTTGTTCATTGTTGTTAAAATATTTAAACTTTTAGATTGTGCAGCGGCAGCCTACTAGAAGCTTGGCTGTCATGATTAGTTTGTTGGCTTAACGTAGCATGATTCTTAAGATAGCTACTTATAAATTTCAGTTGTTTTTTATTGAGATTTAAGAGGTCGTTTGGAAGTTGCGAATGTTAAATCGTTGCATTGTAATGGATCACCATAATATAAATGCATGTATTGATACAATGGATGCATTTTAACAATACATTGTTTGGTTGTTGAGATTCTACTTTATGCATTGATTTACATAAATTTACTTTTATGGGGAAATGTCACATTTACCCGCAACTTTTAGAATAAGACAAAAAATATTAGGGATATAAATGGAAAGAAAAAAGTTGACACAAATCTAAAACCAACAATCACTAGTTGAGATTGTATAATGCATCATTTTTTGTGATTGTTGGTGGGACCTACCTAAAACAAGGCATGCATTGTTTTACACTTTGACACTTCCAAACATTGTATTGTGCATAATACATGTATTCAACAAACACAACTCAAACAATCACAACTTCCAAACGACCCCTAATAGTATGGTGGTTTTACTATGATGTGCATTGCGAAAAGCTTTATATCGAAAACAAGAAGCCCTCCAACCTGCCTAATTCTTCAGTGGGATGTTTTTACTAAGATGAGCATTGTGGAATAAGAGAAACACACAATACTATGAAAATTACTTGATATAGGCTTTGTGAGTGGCTTTTTGGGAAAACCACCAAACAAATCTACTCCAGGTTTTTGAAGTGAAGTGAAGTGGGATGGCATAGCATCCAGAGATTCTACCTGAGACGGGCTATCAAGTGGTTTCACAACGGTACAACAAATTTATGAGAAGTCAAAATCATCCGTACAGTCGGAACTTCCTCGATACATAATACAATACACATTAAAGTTATATACTGTATCGGCCAACGAACGGAGTCAAATGCTAGTTTTTTTTGGAATAGAGATGCAAAATTATTCATACAAAATAGGGCTAATTCCACTAGAAAGCGCAAACTAGTCAAAAAATGTCACTTGTGTCCTAAACTATTCAATATGACAAATCTGGTACGAACTATTTTTTCGTTAATGTTGACCGGCGTAGACTGTTAGTATTTATCAAAAAATCTCGTCAGCATCTATGTGGTTTATGCCAGATTTGACATATTGAATAAATTTAAGACATAAATGTCACGAAATGCATATAGTTTGTGCCAAATTTGTCATATTGAATAGTTTATAACACAAATTTTACTTTTAGAATAGTTTGGACTTTCTAATGGAATTAAAAAAAAAAACCCCAAACTTATCCCAGCGTAATGTAGATGTAGTTGCCGATTCCTTTGATATCTATGGCCACAGAAAAAAAAGAAATTGCCCCGCTGCCTACGGGATACATTGGGAATGATTTGGACGACAGGAAGGAACCTCCCATAGCCCAACCGCCAAAATGCTAACAGTCACAACCAGAGTCACGGGGGTGCCGGCGTCCCCCTCATCCGACGCTGCCGCCGTAAAACCTATCTCCACAACGAACTCCCCCTTCCCACTTGAGCCCACAAATCGGCGTCGCCTCCTTCATGCGGCGGTCTCCCTCTCTGCCGCGGCGATAACCCTGACTCTTCCCGCGCAAATCGCCGAAGCCCGCGGCCTCTTCCAGATGCCACCGTTTCGTCTCATCAATCGGTGCTTCCTGTCTCGTAAATATAATCCCCTTACGTTAAATTCTTTAATTCATCTCTCTCTTCCCATAAATGCGTTAACTGGGTGTTGCGATTGAAACAGATACTACTTGGTAAGAGCTGGGGAATCTGAATATGAGGACATGGGGATAATCAACACGAATCCTGTTGCCAAAACATCCGTCGATAACGGTCTTTCGGAGAAGGGGAAAAAACAGACTGTGAAAGCTGCTCTGAAACTCAAGGCCATGGGAGCTTGTGACGATGGCTGCTGGATTTGGCCGTCTATTACCCAGAGGGCCTACCAGGCCGCTGAAGTCATAGCTGCAGTTAATGGAATCAGTAGGAGGTAACGCACAATTGAGTTTTGGGTGATTAGGATAGGAGTGAGTCTTGAATTCAGAATGAATGAATGAATTTTGGGTTGCAGTTATATAGTTCCTGAGTATAGCTTCTTGGATGCTCGTGGGTTGGGAGGTTATGAAGGCAGGAGCTTGGAAGTTGTCTCTGAGGTAAGATGTGTATTAATGAACTAACTTTGTCAATTCCAAAGATATTGAGGGGAAACTCATGTGAAGTGTGTTCGCTGAATGGCTTTCGGGACCCTACTCTGAACTCTCATATGGGTTTAATGTCCGCAGGTGTATGCATCAGATACTGTTTCCCCAAGAAACAAGCCTCCTCCGATAGACGATGGGACACCGAGTGAGAGTGTCGAGGATGTGTTTGTTCGCGTCACTCAACTCATGTCGATTCTGGAGACCCAGTATTCTGGAGAGACAGTCATAATTGTGTCTCCCGATTCTGACAATTTAACAGTCTTGCAAGCTGGTTTAGTTGGTCTTGACCTTCGAAGGTACCAACTGCATTCAGCTTCTTTTTCTTTCATCACCTTTTGGAATGGTAGTTCTCGAACAGATAGCAGTCAACTAGATTTATTGATTAATAGCACTACCTTGCAGGCATCATGAACTCTCTTTTGAGCCTGGGGAAGTTCGATTTGTCGATATCAACAGTATACCTGCGTATAAGCAGCCTGCATCTGCTGTATATAAATGTCTAAACCCACCAAGTTGTACCTAAGATTCCAACTGTGCGTTGATTGAAGAGTTACAACTAGTAGCACGTTATGCCATCTTGTACCCATAATCAATTCTGGTATATATGCATTCCTTGCAAATTGTACATGCTGCATAATTGACATTGTGGTCTATGTTCAAATCTAAAATCCTGTCATGGGTGCTGTTAAATGAGAAGAGGAGGCATCTGTCACTTCGTCTCATCTTTCTTTAAAGTTTAAACCATTCTTGTCCATGGGGACATTTGGGTTTCTACGCATGATCTAACGCTTTTTGAGGACTTAGGCTGAGTTCAATGGGTACCTCATTTATGGGGGAATCTGCAAAAATGAAAGAGGAGATGGTCTGCAAAAATGAAAGAGGAGATGGTCCAATGGGGAGGTTTGGGCCTCCAAAAATGGAGGATCCTGCATATGGAACCTCAAATTTGGAGGTGGAAATGGGGATCCCCCAAATATAGAGGCTCATCAAAGCCGCCACGTGGCTTTTCTTTCTCTTTTTAAGATTTTAGGAGTTAATTGAGAGTTTAATTAGGGGATTAGTTAGGAATTTAATTATATCAATCATTTTCAAGTGTTGTGTGTAAACCCAAATTAGGTACATAATTTTTTGTCAAAAAAATTCGGACTCGAAATTTAACAAAATTCTATTGAAAAATTTGTATTAAAAAATGATGACGAACTATACAAAAATTAACATGAATAAATTATATTAAGACTACGATAAGTACATTTTTAAGTAAATGCAAAAACTAGAAATATTAAGAACCCCAAATATGGAATTTGTTGCATTGGAGCAAAAGAAGGGAAAATGGGGTTCAATCCCCAAATTTGGGATTCAAGGCCCCCAAATTTGGGGTTTTGCATTGGACTTGGCCTTATTGTCCTTATCCATTTTATAGTCAAGACTAAAACCCTAGCTGTTGAGTTTCCTCGTTTTTGAAGAGTGTCATTTGAAAATGTCATTTTTTTTTCTATGTCTTGTAAACATAAATCATAATAGCATGGATCTTAGAATTAGATGTTTTCACGAATCGATAATAGATCAAGGAAACCTACCTCGATCCATGACGAGAGCGGCGGCGGCGGCGGCTTGAGTAGTAATCACCGGAATTGAGTTTCTCCCTCTTGACCCCTTTAGGTTTTAGGTTTAGAGATTTCTATGACGGCTAAGAAATTCTACGTAATGGGTTGAGAGAGGACCAATCCTAGGGTTTCTTTATATAGACCCACCATCAGGGTATATTAGGAAATTACCTTTCATTAACCTAACAAATATATGACTTACCTTATATATTAAACCATTAAGTGATAATTACACTTGGGCCACAATTATTCCCTAGTGATCTATACGGGAATTGGGCTTACATTCTCCCACTTGGCCCATGTGTCATTATATATCACAAGATCTAATAATAAACATAAGTGTGCACATCATAAGATAAATCCATAATATTTGGTTCACCATAAAGTCATAATCAAGTATGAAAGCTAGATTAGGATCATGGCGGTTCTATAACAATTTATCGACCTAGTCCCTTCCATGTACCACAAAACCAGTTTCATGCTCAATATGACACATAACAAGGTATTCATAATGGTCCAACAATAATGCCTTTCCTAAAGACAAAAATCTTGTTTTGTCCACATAATTCATAATGTATATATACTGATCATAATAAACAAAACAAGATTCATAACTTTATTCCAGAAACAAAATAAATGAGCTCAAAGTGTCAATCCATGAAACATAAAATAACTTTAGTCATGACGTCTTATAATCCCCATCCTTTCGACATGTTCAGTCAATATCTTAGGAGGCAATCCTTTTGTTAATGGATCAGCAATCATAAGCTGTGTGCTAATATGCTCGATCGACACCCTTTGTTTCTGAACTTCTTCCTTAACGACAAAGTATTTCACCTCCATATGCGTAGCACCCTTCGAATACTTGTCATTCTTAGAGAAGAATACCGCTACAGAATTATCACAGTAAATTTTCAGCGGCTTGGCGATAATGTCGACAATTCCAAGTCCAAAAATAATATTCCGCAGCCATAAACCATGATTCGTAGCTTCATAACAAGCTATGAATTCAGATTCCATAGTGGATGTGGCAATAACAGACTGCTTCGCACTCTTCCATGAAATTGCCCCTCCGTCTAGAAGGAACAAATAGCCAAAAGTAGACTTCTATGGTGTCTACACATCCAGCATAATCTGAATCTGAATACCCAATCACCTCAAGGTGATCAGATCTCCTAAAGGTGAGCATGTGGTCTTTTGTTCCTTGCAGATATCTTAGTACCTTCTTTGCAGCTTTCCAATGATCTACTCCTGGATTACTTTGATACCTGCGCAGCATTCCGACAGCAAAACTGATGTCTAGTCTGGTACAAGTTTGTGCATAATTCAAACTTCCAACAATAGATTCATAAGGAATGTGTTCCATTTGCTTGCGTTCCAATTCATTCTTTGGACATTGTTTGAGACTAAATTTATCTCCCTTCTAAATTGGAACGACATTTGCAGAGCATTCAGCCATGTTGTATCTCTCTAGGATCCGGTTAATGTATGATTTCTGAGACAATCCCAACAGTCCTTGTGATCTATCACGAAATATTTCTATTCCAATCACATAGGATGCCTCACCCAAATCCTTCATTTCAAAGTTCTTTGAGAGAAACTCCTTGGTTTGATGTAATAAACCAAGATCATTAGTAGCAAGCAAGATATCGTCAGCATACAGAACTAAAATTATAAACTTACTCCCACTAATCTTCAGATATATACATCGATCGACGATGTTCTCCTTAAATCCAAAAGATGTAATGGTATCATTGAACTTAATATACCATTTTCGGGAAGCTTGCTTAAGTCCGTATATTGACTTCTTTAATTTACACACCATATGTTCTTTTCCCTCAACCACAAAACCTTCAGGTTGATCCATATAGACTGCTTCATCTAAATTCCCATTTAGAAAGGCGGTTTTCACATCCATCTGATGGAGCTCTAGATTATAATGAGCTATCATTGCCATGACAATCCTTAAGGAGTCTTTCTTAGAGACGGGTGAAAATGTCTCTTTATAGTCAACACCACTTTTCTTAGTGAAACCTTTGGCAACAAGTCTGGCCCTGTGTCTTTCGATATTGCCATTAGAGTCGTGTTTGGTCTTCCAGACCCATCTATTACCAACTCTTTTACAACCTTCAGGCAAATCAACAAGGTCCCAAACTTCATTTTTATACATAGATTTCATCTCTTCTATCGCGTCAGCTAACCATTTATCAGAATGCTCACTTTCCATGGCTTGTGAAAATGAAACTGGATCATGATAGAGTCCTAAATCAGATTCTAACTCGTGAAGATAAAACTCATAATCATCCGAAATTGCAGGTCTTCGATTTCTTTTAGACCTTCTTAATGCGATTTCTTGTGGTTCATCTATGTTAGGTTCATTCTCAATAGATATATTAGGTGGTGCTTGACCGTTCATTTGTTGTTCTTGCAAATCGTTATCATACTCAACATGTGCAGGAGCAACAACTTGAGAAGAGGGAAGAGGCAAAGAGATTTGCACTCTAACTTCTTGAATTTCCACATTGCGTGGCTCTAAGCTCCCACTAACTTCACCATTCTCAATGAACCTAACATTTACTGTTTCAACAATTCTCGTACTATGGTTAGGGCAATAAAATCGATACCCCTTAGACTTTTCTGGATAACCAATGAAGAAACCACTGATTGTTCGTGAATCCAGTTTCTTTTCATGTGGATTATATTCTCACTTCCGCTGGGCAACCCCAAACATGCAGGTGCCTTAAACTGGGTTTCCTTCCCGTCCACAGATCAAAAGGTGTCTTAGGAACTGCTTTACTAGGAACCCTGTTTAACAAATACACAGCGGCCCTTAAAGCGTGCATCTACAATGATTTGGGTAAAGATGAATTACTTAACATACTCCTAACCATATCCATTAAAATACGATTCTGCCTTTCTGCAACACCATTTTGTTGCGGTGTTCCTGACATAGTGTATTGAACACAAATACCACGTCTTTCTAGGAAATTAGCAAATGGACCAGGGCACTGACCACTTTCATCATATTTTCCATAATATTCTCCACCTCTATCAGATCTGACAATTTTCACCTTTCTTTCTAATTGCCTCTCAACTTCATTGATAAACACCTCAAGGGTATCTACCGACTGAGATTTTTCATGCAGCAAATAGATATATCCATAACATGAAAAATCATCGATAAAGGTAATGAAATACTTTTCTCCACCAAGTGATGGAACATCAAAAGGCCCACAAATATCAGTGTGTATAATTTCAAGGAGCTGTGAGCTTCTTGTGGCTGCTTTCTTAAGTGTGTGTTTTGTGTGTTTTCCTTTAATACACAACACAAATTCCAAGGTCAGTAAAATCCAAATGAGGAAGGATTTCATTCTTTACTAACCTTTCCATTCTTTCTTTGGATATGTGACCCAAAAGTTTATGCCACAAGTAAGCACAGGATTCATCAAACCACGCTTAATACCAATATTATGATGCAAGGTTAAGAGAGTCTCAACGAATAGGGTATCAAGCTTTAGTTTGTACAAGGGTACCAGAACCCAATAAAACATTATGTTTGAACAAACTAATAGAACCATTTCCAATGTTCCAAAAATACCCAGCCTTATCTAGGTGAGACACCGAAACCAAATTATGAGAAATAGAAGGAGCATAAAGGGTATTGACAAGGTCCAAATGATGACCAGTATCTAAAACCAAACGATAAGTCCCAATAGCTTCAACTAGAACTTTGGCTCGGTTTCCCATATAGATGAACTTCTCATTTTTCCTTATGGTTTGGGTCGTAAGGAATCCCTGCATCGTTTTGGAAACATGAATGGTACAACCAGTGTCAACCCACCAAGTATAATAAGGAACCTCAGTAAAATTTGATTCGAAACATACTGAAGCACTAGGCTTACCCTTTCTTTCGAACCATGCCTTTCTTTTCAAGCAATCTTTCTGATAATGTCCGGCTTTCTTACAAAAGCGGCATATATCCTTACTTGGTTCTTTCTTATGGATTTTGGAAGATGACTCATTAAGCTTTGATAGTCCTTCCTTGCCCTTCCCATTCTTGTTCCATGGTTTCTTTCCAGCTCCTTTATGACCAACAAGATTGACAGAATGATTTCCTGGTTTCTTAAGCC